GAAAAACAAAATTGTACAGAATGATTTATATAGTAACTAGTACTCTTTTTAGAGGGATTCTTTTCTTGATTTCCTAATGTACAGCTGATGATGAAAATCAATCAGAACTCTTTCTGTGTATATAGCTTTTGTTTTTTATAAACATGTAAAATTTCTGTGAATATTCATCCTTCTTTTGTTAGTGCCTTTGTCAAAACATTTTGAATATTCATCCTTCTTTTGGTATGCTGTTGTCGTTGTTGTTATTGCTGTTTGTTACTGCTTTTTTTTTTCTTTCTTTGTGCCGAGGGTCCATCGTTAACAACCTCTCTACCCTCACTACGTATACACTATGCTCCCTAGACCTCACTCGTGAGATTATACTGAGTTTTTTGTTGTTGTTGTATCCTTATTTTAGTATTGCCTTTTATCAAATGTTTGATTATGGCTCATGGCATCATTGTCTTCTTCTATCTGAGATTTACTGACCCGACTAATCTGGATATGTGTGATGTAATCCCCACTAAATGGGATATTGCTCCCTATGAGGAGTTAATTTATTCAGAGGGTCTGAACGCCCTGATTGAACTCGAGATGTCTAGTTAAGAGCAAGTTTCACCACACTCATTGGTGGTTGGTGCCTTTGATCTTTTATGTTAGCTGGATTTTGTTGTGAAATGCTTGTTTAGTGCCTAGTGCTTGTTCATTTATCATTTTTATTTTTTGATTATGTTGAGTTATTAGTTATTATGTTTGGCTGCTTACTAGAGGAGTCAAGTGTTTGTTTTCACTTCTCAGTAAGGTGAAGAAGCAAACTCTTTCTTACTGGATTGGAATTGGTTGCCATTTTTGAAATTTGAAAAAAGAAGAAAATTATTCATACCCAGTACAATTTCAGATATGTAGTTAAAGGTGGCAAAGCTTTTAAAAGGTACAATTTAAGTGTAAGATTTGCCTTTTCTTTTCCAATTATTTTTGAGTTCATAACTTTACTATTCATCACTAAACATAGAATATCCGACTTCGCTAGCCAGAACAAAATAGACATATGAGATGAGAGTTTGACCGATTAGATCGGAAATAGAGAAAGAAAGGTCAATCTCTGAAAGGCCTTTGCAGAGTCGAGCTTTAGGCGAAAACTTTTTACGGACTTGCACATGGAAAAGTCAAGTATCCTGCGCAGATTTGATCTACCGGGATTTTTGCTTCAAAGAATGCTTTCAAGCTAAAAATTTAAGCATGAGATTTGTCTGCATAAAAAAAACTATTCTTTGTATAATCTCACTGTCTCCTGTAATTAGGGTTTACGTTATATATACACTGAAAAGTAGTAATAAGTTTTTTACATCATCAGTGTAATTTACTGTGTTATAGCATATCATTTACCATTTATATTAGGTTACCATCTATGCTATTAAATAAAAAATTTGAAATTACTTTTCAAGTGACATAATATTGTAAATATATTTTGTAGACCAATGCATCTTATTACTTCAAGCTAGTTGTAAAAAAGGAAGAAAAATAGTACTAGGAAATTATAGCTATTTGCTGGCTAATACTTAACATTAAAGAAACTTTTCAACTAGAATATTAAGCCAACTAGTGTTTGAAATTATTTTATTTTTAATTTCTCTATGTCGGTTAGGTTAACTCAATTATTTAGAAAATATTCCACATAAATACCCCCCCCCCCCCCCCCCACAACACTAAAAAATAATGCAAATGGGCCCCACAACCAAAACCTTTAAAAGCCAATTTTACCACTCTTTCCCCAAAAACAAACGTCTGAATTTCAAATCCCTCTTTCTTTCTTCTTAATCCACCGCCCCTTTTCAAGATTTTGTCTTTTTTCGTTATACTCACACCCCCTTTAATCCTTACTAGCGTCTCTTAATTGCTTTTTCAGTTCCTTTACAACAGGTGCCTTCTTTTTCTATATTTGTAGATGAATCAAGAATCGATTATGCTGCTAATACTGGTTTTATTCTATTGTTATTTTCTATTTTCGGAATTTTTTTTAATTCAAATATTGTCTTCTGGGTATTTGAATTTTATATTTTTCGTGGACTTTTTTTAGATACCTATATGGGTTTCTTGAAGTTTTTTAAGGTTTATTTGATTTTCTTTATTGTGTTTTTAAGGTTTGTTAGCTTGTGTGTCGCTGTAGATTTTATTACTGTTACATGTCAGGTGTAATGAGGTTTTCATTAATTTGAGACACAAACAGAGTTTTTTGTTTGCGATCATTTTGGTTATTTGGGGAAGTATTAAAGGACCGTTTGGTTACAACTTTTAAGTATGAGCAAAAAAAAATCCTGCTGCAAAAAATCCAATTGTTTTACACAGTGTTTGGTATGAAGTACAAAACCCTGCATTACATGTTAATAACTTTTAAGTATAAGCAAAAAAAAAATTCCTGCTGCAAAAAATCTTATTGTTTTACACAGTGTTTGGTATGAAGTACAAAACCCTGCATTACATGTTAATAGTAACTTTTAAGTATAACCAAAAAAAAATCCTGCTGCAAAAAATCCTATTGTTTTACAGTGTTTGGTATGAAGTACAAAACCCTGCATTACATGTTAATCTCCTTATTTACAATGTTTGGTTTCCGGTACTAGAATTAACTTAAGTTATGTGGATTTTAATACCGGAAACCAAACTATCAAAGACACACGCTTAAGCCCTGAAGCGAGGCTCAAAACATGTTGAGCACTTTGCGTCGCTTAGCGGGCGCTTCAGTGTTGTCATTAAGGCTCTGACATACTTTTCCTTGCCAATGAGCGTAATCCGGAAGAGGCGACACTAAACAATTGATATTTTACTTTATCATAAATTTTCTTCAATTTCTCTGTCCATATATTTGGTATTCATGCTTATAGATATTATTCTTGGACTACACGTATATATTTGTAGTTTTTCTCCATTTGTGTCTTTCTTTAATAAAGCCCACATTTTATTTGCGTTTTGCGCTTAAAGCCCTACCAAACCTTAGAGCTTTTTTGCGCTTTTCGCCTTTGATAACATTAATGTGAATATAAGTTATACGGGGACCTATGTATTATTTTATATGGAATAGAAGGTGGAATAGGCAATGTGTATAAGAGGCAATCCCTAAAAAACAATCCTATTGTATAACAATCCTCGTATTATTAATCTCCGTACAAACAATCCCTCTATAACTAATCCATCAACCAAACGACTGGTATGCGTAATAAACTGAGATTAGGATTAATTGGTGGATATTGTTAATAGATATTGCTGGACAGGTTCTATTTAATTCTCATATGTTTTTATGGTGACTGTTTTAGTTATTTCTGTCAGTTTTAGGTGTAATAGGCTGGGAATAGGATTTATTGGTGGATATAGTTAATGGAGACAGGTCCTTTTGGGCCTTTTGGTTATTTATGGTAGTTTAATTTATTAATTTGGTAGAAGTATTATCAGTTGATAAAGTTAATAGAGAAAAGAATTTACTGTCTGTTAGACAACTTTTTAGTACTAGATTTATCTATAATCTACGTATGGACGCTTTGCAGTGTGAATAACGTGCATATGTTATAGATGCTATCTTGGTTTTGCATTTCAGCAGATGTGACCTTTTGATGTGGTTATTGCAGTAGCACAACAAATGGAGGGCCTTTGTTGCTGAGGAGATTTGCAGCTTTACATTAGCTTCTTCGTTGAACGAAGCTAATTTCAAGTTCACCTGATCATCAAATATGGTTGGTGGCCCTTTAGGTCGGAAATGTAAAACGAACGGCTCCATCTGTAGTAAAGTTGAGGAAAAGCAGTTAGATGCCCCAGTTCCTACTTCAGTGTCATCTGTTCGGAGATCTCCTGTTTTATCTAGCAAGGACACCACCCAAATTCTAAAGAAGAATTTATCACTTGCTTTTAGCACAAAAGTTTTGTGTGGAAAAGAAACAGAAAGTACACGGGAGTTGAGGAGCGCTGAGACAAGGAATAGAAGTTCATTTTCCGCACCTACAATTAGTTCTTCTGGAAAAACTAATACAGAAAAGCAAAACGGTAACAGTAAACTTTCTTTCCTTTCATGTCCTCCTTTTGAAGAAGAACAATATACTTTGATAAAGCATGTCTATTTGACTATAGACAATTTAGTAGCTCTATTCAAGCATGATTTTTTGTTTTTTGAAGTTGCTTGTTTATTCGTTACCGCATGAAAGCATTACTGCTTAACCTTTGATAGATGTCATTTTCTCCTTTTTTTTCTAATTAATTCTGTGTGCAGTTCACTATGTTACATGAATACATTATCCGTTGAATTCAGCTGAAATTTTATACCATCAGATTAGGTGTTATTGCCATTTCATGTTGCATCTCACTTAGGTTCAAAACAAGAAAAGGCAAGACATGAATACATCATGCCTTCTGCCAATCATACGCTTGCTACAGTTTAGCTTTATCATTTTTCAAGGATATCAAGATTCCATTTTTAATGTAGATGTGGTAGTTATTGTCATCTGGACTAGTGTGTAAAAAGATCTTATGGAAGTGAACAAAAATATTAATTCCAATTTTAGCAAAAGAAGATTCTGAGGAACTCTTTAAGTCCAAACTCCAACGGCCAATTTCTTTATCCAATCTTTGCCAATTATAATAAGATTTTCAAATGGTCGAGGATAATCTAAATCTGGTTGGATATGCTTTCACGTTTTCCTCATGGTTTTGTGGCTTGTATCTTCATTATCTTTTTTTTTTTTAAAATTTCAAGTCCATGTAGTGAGCAGCCAACTAGATTAGTGCAAAGGCATATACTCGTTTTTGGTATAAGACAAGCCAGTTAGATTACATTGTAACTTGTGAGCATCTTCATGTAAAATGACACCTAATGAATAATTTCCCCCATTTTATTTTGGTGCCTGCAAGTTAAATAAGATTAATGCTCTTGCTCTCGTTTCTCTCCCTCCCCTAACTTGCATAGATAGAAAAGAGCTTGGACTCAGTTCCTGTCTCTTACCTATAAATAAGGGGGGGGGGACAATATCTTTGATTGTGAGACCAATGCTATTTCAGATTGCTTTACTGATATGGAACTGGAGCTTACTTCCATGATAAAGAGAGGCATTCCTATAATTCCTTCTGTCTTGATGTATGTTCCGTTTTCATCACTCGGGTCTCTGACTGAATTGTTCGTGTCAGGCGTCCGCAACTTAGTCAGATATTCTTAATTAATGGCTAGAGTTCATATTGAGGGGCTACATGAATGATATGGTACTTGAGGTGGCTAAGCAGTATACACATTTTTTTCCATTTGGTTTATAAGTTATCTAGAGTACTTATACTGCTTCTGAGATTTGAAGGTTACTGTTAAAACCTATAATAATGCATTAGCACATGTACTTTTTCTGCAATTGAATGTTGGTTATTCCTAAAAGTACCAAGGGCTTTAAGTAATACTCCCTCAGTCCCAAAAAGGATGATACTTTTCTGATTTCGAGAGTCAAACGAGTTGTTCTTTGACTACGGCTTTTTCATATACCTTTTTAAATATTTTGAATTGTTAATTATTGTGACTTATAGAGTACTTTTTATGTAGTTTCCAAATGTATAAATTTTATTTTAAAAAACATAAAGATTCTAGATTCGAATTCATGGTCAAAGTTAAGAAGTTTGACTCTCGAAATCGCAAAAGTATCATCCTTCTTGGGACGGGAGGAGTAAAATTTTAGTATCAGCATAAAAAGTACTCCTTTCCCTTAATTTAGAGGGTCCATATACTTTTTGTTCCAATTATTGCTTCATGAGATTTCTAACATTGATTACTACTTCTGACAGATCATACAGTCCAAGTCCTGCAAATGAAGACAAGGTTAAAAAAAGGTTCGGAATTAGAAGCAATTAAGACAAGCCAAGTGAAAGATGCTCCTGCTCCTAGAAGACCACCCTTGCCTCCTGTAACTAAGAAAATCAAGAAGATTTCAGCCGCCGCGCCTCAAGTCCTACAGGAAATAACGCCAACCCAGACTTCTAGCCATCAATCACAACCAACACCTAGACATACAAAGAGCTCTGAACTTCAGAAGACTTCATCTAAGACCCAGCTTTCACGTCAAAAGACGCAGGGCAAAACTCCTGTCCATCAATCCAAATATCAAAAGGCTCCAACTTCAGATATTTCGCAAAAAAGGACCCTCAACCAGAATTCGATGGGAAAGACAAGGATCCCTACTTCCATCAGGCAATCTAAATCGTCCACAAGTACCAAGGAGCCTTTAAGAATTAATGAAGAGCCTATCCACCATATTATATGGGAAGGTATGTCTAAAATTTTATCTCTTCATAGTGTTCCAAGACCACTATCTAGGGTAAGAAAGCTGCGCTTTAATCTTAAGCAAATGGGATATATAGGCTTACAGAACATAAGCGATCCTGATTTTACTGATTAGTTGATATATAGATTCAGTCGTACTGTAAATTTTATGGCGAGTTAATTTGCTTACTTTTTTCTGGAATGTGCACAACGAGCGATGATTTCAATGACATAACCTTGCTTGTGCTGCCCTTATCGGGATAAACACAGTGCTCACCAGCATATGCATTTCAGTTTTTTCTGCTTTAGTGCATTGCTAATCAATAATCTGTAAATTGGGATATATAGGCTTACAGAACATAAGCGATCCTGATTTTACTGATTAGTTGATATATAGATTCAGTCGTACTGTAAATTTTATGGCGAGTTAATTTGCTTACTTTTTTCTGGAATGTGCACAACGAGCGATGATTTCAATGACATAACCTTGCTTGTGCTGCCCTTATCGGGATAAACACAGTGCTCACCAGCATATGCATTTCAGTTTTTTCTGCTTTAGTGCATTGCTAATCAATAATCTGTAAATTGCAGGTCCGGATGAAACATTTGAATCTTCTGGAATCACTTGCCCACTATGTGAAAATGATCTGTCTTACATGCCTGCTGAATATGTAGATGAATATTATGATGATGTTGAGCCTTTGGTTCTCCCAAATGTTGCTATTTTTCCGTGTGGTCATTCTTTTCACAGTGTATGCTTAGATGGAATTGCCCCTGAAGAAAACTCAGGTGATCCTCCATGCTATTTTTGTCTCAGTTGCATGTCTTGAGAATTATGAGTCCCATCTCGTTTCTTCCGGATTCTCAAATCAATTTGTTGGGGGCATTCTTGAAGCGGCTTCAAGTAAATTTTGCCACGTGTACAGATCCCTTATGGTCTCTTTCCCTTTCGACTGTGTAGCCGCTCTAGCAGATACTATGAGCCCTTTGTCCCACGTATCTAACCAGCTCAGTGGGTCACCGGTTCTGCCAAAAACTCTCATATCATGAAGCTTTGGATGCGTTTGAAAGCCTCGATATGACTTGCAGAATAAAGTCTTTCTTCAATTTCAGCTGCTCATTTTAGTTCAATTTTTTTTGTCAATTTAGAAATAGCAATATATTGAGGCCAATTTCTCAAGATTATTTCCAGGATTTTACATGCTTATTAAAAGATCTCAGAGCTTCAGTTTTGGCATGGTTTCTTACTTCCTCCATTTCCTATTTATACAAATTAGGAACATGCCTCTTTGAGTAAGTTAACGTCATAGCACTTGACCATAGTTGGTTTTCTGTTGCATGCATTTCTAGATGTTTCATGACGCCAAAATCTGCTATAATATGACTTGAAAATACAGTAGCATAGAGTATATAATATTGTGTTGCATGACCCCAAAACACCAAAAAATGAACCCGAAATGCCAAAAAGCAATGTTAGTCATGCGACGCAATTCGTCACTAGGTCATTTCTTATGGACCTAAAAAATTTCAGATCAATCGGAATCCGTCAATAAACTTCTATGAAATCAGCATGTACTAATACACACGAGAAAGTGGATATAATCATAAAGTACTGTTGCATGATCTCGAAACGCTATAAAATGAACTCTAAAGTCATGGCGAACCAATGAGTATTGGTCACAAGGCCGTTTCCTATGGTACTACAAAATTTCAGGCCAATCAGAGTCCGTAAAAAATATTCTACAAAATCAACATGTACTAAATTTATGTTGCATGACCACGAAACGCTGGAAAATAAACTCGAAAGTCATAGCGAAGCAATGAGTATTTGTCGCTAGGCCGCGTTACCTAGGAACGGTCATGCATAAACGATGAGTATTGTTCTTTAGGTCGTTTCTTATGGGCCCACAGAATTTTAGGCGATTCGGAATCCGTCGCTCGAATTCATGAAGATGGCGGAGACATTAGCACGCGAAAAAATGAGAATCATCCTCAATTCCTGTTTTATGGCCCTAAAACGCCAAAAAATGAGGAATGGTCACGGCGAAGCAATGACTATTGTTTATTAGGTCATTTTTTATGGGCCAACAAATCTTTAGGCGATTCGAAGCCTGCCACTCAAATTCATGAAGATGGCGTGAATATTAGCACAAGAAAAATCGGAAATCGACTTGAATTCATATTTTTTGGCCCTAAAACACCAAAACATGTGGAGCAGTCATGACAAATCCATGACTATTGTTTATTAGGTCATTTTAATGGGCCCACAAAATTTTAGGCGATTCGTAACTCATCGCCCGAATTCATGAAGATGGCGTTGACATTAGCACACAAAAAAATGAAAATCGTCCTAAATTCCTATTTTATAGCCCTAAAACGCGAAAAAATGAGGAACAATCCTAGCGAAGTGATGACTATTGTTCATCAGGTAGTTTTTTATGGACCCGCAAAATTTTAGGAGATTCGGAGCCGGTCGTCCGAATTCATGATGATGGCATAGACTATAGCACACGAGAATCTAGGAATCGTCCTGAATTCCTATTTTATGCCCCTAAAATGTCAAAAAATGAGGAACGGTCATGGCGAAGCGATGACTATTATTCATTAAATCATTTTATGGGCCGTCAAAATCTTATGAGATTCAGGGTCGGTCAGCCGAATCCATGTAGATGGTTTGGGCTATAGCACATGAAATTGTGGGAATCATTTTGAATTCTTGTTTTATGGCCCTAAAGTACCAAACAATGAGGAACAATCATGGTGATGAAATGATTATAGTTCATTAGGTCATTTTTGATGAGCTCACAAAATTTTAGGAGATCCGTAGTCGGTCCTCCGAATTCATGCAGATGACGTGGACATAGCATACGAAAATCTAGAAATCGTCATGAATTCCTGTTTTATGGCCCTAAAATGCCAAAAAATTGAGGAACGACCATGGCGAAGTGATGGATATCGTTCATTAGGTAATTCTTTTTATGGGCCTGCATAATTTTAGGATATTCGGAGTGGGCCACCCGGATTTATCCAGATGGCATAGACTATAACACATAAAAAACTGGGAATCGTTCTGAATTCTTATTTTATGGCCCTAAAATGCCAAAAGATGAGGAACGGTCATGAGAAGTGATGACTACTGTTCATTAGGTCATTTTTGTTAAGCTCGCAAAATTTTAGGAGATTTGGAGTCGTTCGCGTGAATTCATGCAGATGGCGTGGACTATAGTACACAAAAATCTGGGAGTCGTCCTGAATTTTTGATTTATGGCCCTAAAATGCCAAAAATGAGGAACGACCATGGCGAAGCAATGACTACTGTTCATTAGATCATTTTTGATGGGCCTGCAAAAATTTTAGGAGATTCGGAGTCGGTCGCCCGAATTCATGCAGATGGAGTGGATTATGACACATAAAAATCTGGGAATCGTCTTAAATTCCTATATTATGGCCCTAAAATGCCAAAAACATAAGTTACGGTCATGGGAAAGCAATGACTATTGTTCATTATGTCTTTTTTATGGGCCCGCAAAATTTTAGGAGATTGAGAGTCGATCTCCCGAATTAATGAAGATGGCGTGGACATAGCATACGAAAATCTAGGAATTGTCATGAATTCTTGTTTTAAGGCCCTAAAACACTAAAAAAAATGAGGAACGGTCATGGAGAAATGATGACATTGTTCATAAGGTCGTTTTTGTTGGGCCGAAATGTTTTAGGTGATTTAGGCTGGTCGGCCAAATTCATGCCGGTGGTGTGAACTATAGCACACGAAAATCTAGGAATCATCTTGAATTCCCGTTTTATGAACCTAAAATGCCAAAAAATAAGAAACGATTATAGCGAAGCGATGACTATTATTCATTAGGTCGTTTTTATGGGCCCTCAAAATTTTAGGAGATTCGGAGACGATCGCCCGAATTCATGCAGATGGTGTGGATGCACACGAAAATTTGAGAATCGTCGTAAATTCCAATTTTATAGCCCTAAAATACCAAAGAATAAGGAAGGGTCATGGCGAAGCGATGACTAATTTTCATTAGATCATTTTTATGGTCCCGCAAAATTTTAAAAGATTCAGAACTGATCGCGCAAATTGATGCATATGGAGTATACTATAGCACACAAAAATATGAGAATCGTCTTGAATTCATGTTTTATGGCCCTAAAATTTTAAAAACACAAACACAAACCGATGCTTAGGTTGTTTTTGATGAGCCCACAAAATTTTAGAAAATTCGGAGTCAATCGCCAGAATTCATGCAGTTGGCGTGGACTATAACACACGAAAATCTATTTTTTTCTGAATTCCTGTTTTATGAACTTAAAACGCCAAAAATAAGAAACGGTCATGGTGAAGCGATGAATTTTTGTAACGACCCGGCCGGTTGTTTTGAGAATTTAAGTCCCGCCCGGCGGCATAAGTCCCTGAGCAACTTCATATTATGTGTATTGACTTGCGTGCGTGGTTGAATTCAGTTACCGGATGATTCAGAGTGATTTGGGACACTTAGTCCCTAAAACGGTAGCTTAAGTCTTAGGATTTTGACCGTAGTCGGAACTATGTGAAGACGACTCCGGAATGGAGTTCTGTCAGTTCCATTAGCTCCGTTGGGTGATTTTGGACTTGGAGCGTGTTCGGACTATAAATCTGAGGTTTGTAGTTGATTTAGGCTTGAAATGGCGAAAGTCAAATTTTTGGAGATTTGGACCGGAAGTGGACTTTTCGATATCGGGGTCGGAATGCGATTCCGAGAGTTGGAGCAGCTCCGTTATGTTATTTGAGACTTGCCTGCAAAATTTAACGTCATTCCGGGTTGATTTGATAGGTTTCGGCAAGAGTTTTAGAAGTTGAAAGATTTGAAATTATAAGTTCGATTCATGGTGCGATTTGTGGTTTCGACATTGTTTGATGTGACTTTAAGGCTCGACTAAGTTCGTATGGTATATTAGGATTGGTTGGTATGTTTGGTTGAGGTCCCGGGGGCCTCGAGTGAGTTTCGGGTGCTTAACGGATTAAAAGTTTGATTTGTGTTACTGCTAAGTCTTTAGGTTTCTGGTATTTTCGCACCTGCGAAGAAGAGACCGCAGGTGCGAGAGCGCATGTGCGGAGAGGCAAGCGTAGAAGCGAAAAAATGGAGGAGTGCCAGGGGTCGCAGGTACGAGGAAAATTTCGCATCTACGATGCCCGCAGATGCGAAGATTGAGGCGCAGGTGTGAGAAGAGCTAGACTTGACAGTCTCCGCAGGTGCGGAGAAATTGTGCGCATCAATGGCTACGCAGAATCGGATTTTTGGCGTGCAGAAGCGAGAGGAAGCGCATGTGCGGTTGGACATGCGCACCTGCGGTCGCGCAGATGCGGCTAGTTATGCGCAAGTGCGGTCACGCCTGGGCAGAAAAGAGAAATCCGAGGGTTTGGTTTCATTCTTCGTTTTTGAACTTGAGAGCTCGGAATTTGGCGATTTTTCGAGGGTTTTTCAGAGAAAACTTTGGGGTAATGATTCCTAACTCGTTTTTGGTTGTTTTTCATTAATCCATAGTTGTTTTCTCCATTTAGTTTCGGGTTTGGATTGAAAACTTAGGAAAAATGGGAAGAAGTTCTTCAACTAAGAGTTTTGAGTTTTGATTGGGATTTAGAGATCGAATTTGAATAATTTTGGTACGAGTGAACTTGCGAGTGAATGGGTGTTCGTATTTTGTGACTTTTATCCGATTCCGAGACGTGGGTCCGGGTCGACTTTTTAGGGCGAATTTCAAAATTTTTATTAAATATTGATTTCAATGATTAGATAAGTTTATTATTGTTGTATTCATGTTATGCAATTGTGTTTGGCTAGATTTGGGCCATTCGGAGTCGGATAATTGAGGAAAGGACATTCTTACGGACTGTTTGAGCTTGGTTCGAGGTAAGTATCTGGCCTAACCTTGTGTGGGGGATTTTTCCCTTAGGATTTGAGTCTTCTATGTTGATTTGTAGTCCATGCACGCGAGGTGACGAGTGCGTGCTCGGACTTATTTATGAAAAGTTGGCCTTTTGGGATTCTTAGGTCCTTATATTCACTGAGTATGAAGTTGCTCTTGATATGATTAAGTTCATATTTACTAGTTTCGCCTCTACATACTTTAATTAAAATTAATTGCTTTCAGGATTCACTCTTATTATCTATTTGACTCTTATTTGACTTAACTGAAGATTTTACCTCCTCTATTGTCATGCTATCTTTTCATAACTGCTTATCTTTATTTG